ACCGATGCGTAAAGCCAGTTCGCGATCCACGAATACTCGATCACGTGCGTGCTGCATATTCCAATGAAAGGTATGAAGGGTTGAGTTACGTAGACCAGGGTGCGGTACACACAGCCGTCAGACGGTAAGTGCTCCACTCTCCCTGGGTCACACAAGTGATGAGAAGTTAACCAATCTTGTTTTGAGTCCCACTTCGAGTCCCCGTGGAGGCCTTCGTAGGTCAGGATCCCTGCGAGTTTTCAGTGTATCCTTTTCCTCAGCACAAGCGGGCGAGATCAACCGAGCGGGAGCCTATACGTATATGCGCCGACGTGTCGGCTTGAGCGAGCTCCTAAACCCCCGCTCGGAGGTCTGATGCTGAAATGTCTGTGGTGTGAGAAGCGGCAATCAAGCAAATGATACTGATAAGAACAGGTACTACTAGCCTGTTGCTTTTGGACCTTGGGAGCGGGAGCGAGACGAGGCAGGGGAGGAAGAGGAAGGAGGAAGGAGGAAGGAGAGAGGAAAACAACAACAATATTATCAGGCTGTTGGGCTGCTGTCTACTGGGCTCGACCGTCATGCGGATTTCCCTACACTTTTCGAGCACAAACAATAAACAAACGAGCAATCGTATTCTGAAACGCTACGCTCACAAGTGTGTGTGCAGGGCAAAGACACGTCGGAACTCTAAGAGAACTGTAAAACGAGTCCAATAGTATGTTGAAAGAAGCACACACACAACAAACACACAACAAATACACAAAACACACAAAAAAAACACAGTGGGAAGAACACACACACACAAACAAAAAAAAAACACACACACAGACAGCGCAGTGTGGAGTCACCCAGCTGCCTGCGGCAAGTCCCGCCACCGCGCCCCTGCAGCGGCGCAGCAGCGCAGCAGAAAGGAGGCCTGGTGAGGGAGCAGCCAGGTCCTGACGAGCGGTCAGAACTGGGACGGGCTGTGAACTCAGCCTCGTCTCCGTCCGCGTGGTAGGGAGGAGGTCGAGTTCGCGCCCCGTTGCAGTTCAGCGAGCGTTCTGAATCGAGACGGGTCGGGAACTCGACCTCATCTTCGTCTGCGCTGTAGGGAAAGTAGGAGGATGAGGAGAATGATGATGATGATGAGGAGGAGGAGGATAAGAAGAAAATGCAGACAGGGAGGAAGAGGCCTCGACAATCTGTTCCGCCTCCTCGGAGGCCTCTTTGGGCCTCTTGGGGCCTCTTGGGGCCTCCTCGGGCCTTGTTGGCCCGCCCGACGCCCTCGGCGGCCGTCCTCCGGGGGCTCTCTGGGCCCTCTCCGTGCCCTCGTGGAGCGCTTGAGGGCCGCCCTGGCCTTCCTGGGAGGCTCGCGGGCGGACTTGGAGTCCTCTCGTCGGGGGAGGACAGGCACCCGTACCGCTACCCTTCGCCCGTTTTGCCCCCTTTTGGGGGTTTCTTGGGTGGCCCTCGCCGCCGCCACCGGACTCGCCTCGAGATTATGGTCGGACCGCACCCCGGGGGGAAGATCCAGGCAGTAGCGGCATCGGTGCCTTTTCTGGTCACCCCATTTTGGGCCGACTTGAGACCCTGTTTGAAGCACCATCGGCCGCATTGGAGTCATCCTGGAGGCCTCTCGACGCGAACCTCAGAATCACTAAACCACCATAGGGACAGAAATGTCTGTTCGCTCTCTCGGAGGCCACTTCGGGCCTCTTGGTGACCTCTCGGGGCTTCTTGGGCCGTCTTAGGGGGCCATCGGCCCGTCTGACGCCTTCGGCGGCCGGCTTGGGGGCCCCTCCGGGCCGCCTGGTGTTCTCGTGGAGCGCTTGAGGGCCGTCTTGGGACCATTTTGGCAGATTTGTGGGCGATCTTAGGGCCGTCTTGGGCCGACTGGGGGCCCACTTTGGGGCCTCGTCCGCTGTATTGGAACTATACTGGGGGCTTCTTGGGTCGTCTTGGGCGGTCGGAACATCCACCCATCAGGTGAGAACATCAGAATCCGTCAAAGACCTTCAGAATGTTATTGTGTGCTGCCTTCTCGGGCTCTCCTGGGAGGCCTCTTGGAGCCCTCTTGGGCCGAGTTTGAAGCCTCTCGACCGTCTTGAGGCCAATTAGGAACCTCTAGTGCCGTCTTGGGTCGTCTTGGACAGTCTTGGTGTCATCTTGGCTGTCTTGGGAGCCGTCTTGGGAGCCTCTTGAGCCGACTGGTGGCCAAAAAGAGCGTTGGAGAGCAGCTGCATGGGGGTAGGTTTTCGAAATACGCGTGCGATGAGGGGGTTGGCCTTGGAAAGCATAAACATTTTTCCAACTATCCGAGGAGCATTCTAACACGCCCACTCCGTGCAGGCACCTTGGCGGATCCACTCATCTTTCTTTGGTATTGCATTGCCCGCTCGCGGGTCTTTTACCCATGTACGTGTTTCGGCGCGTACATCCTTTTGCGGTTATGCATACACCTGCTGCGTGCAGCCGGTTTCGGCCCCGCCGCCAGCCATCTTCCTTGATACATTGGTACCTCGGGCACCGAGATGCCGCGGCCAAGCCAGGATTTTGAGCTGATTCGCCAACCGCCCATTTGAGCGGCGGGCAAAAACGGGGTCGATTGCGCGGACATTCGCGCGTAAGTTTCCAGCGTAAGGTCGCGCGTGAGCGCCCTCTTCTCCACGCGGTGTGCCGCGCTGGCGGCCCGCGTGAGCCGGTGCCCAATGTTGCTATGTCTTCTCGTGCAAGGCCCGTTTCTATTCTCGTTCGTTCTGTTATCGCCCCCTTTTCGTCCGCCCCGATTGAGGCGGGTCAGTCGGAGGGGCTCCACAGTACACGCCACGTCGTCTGGTGTGCCAGGGAGCGGAGGAGTTCGGCAACGGAGTTCGGCGAGGAGTTGGCCGGCCAGACGGCTTGGTGTACACTTCCACTCGGAGCGTAGGCGCGGGTACGCGGCCAAAAAGCCGGTCTAGTTTGGCATAATGCGTTTCAGATCCGTTTTATTTGTGACAAGTTGGGGCGTATTTGGGGCTAGCTCGGCTTCAATGGCCTTTTCATCAGGCCTAGTCGCCTCTTTCTGACAAAGACCTTCCAGAAGTTAGGGGGCCACATGCGAACCCTACCCCTACCCCCCTCGATTCCTGAGGGGGAGAGTGGGGTTCACTTCGTTCGGGAGGTCCCGAGCGAAGTGAACCCCCCCCCCTCAGAAATCGTGGGGGGTAGGGGTAGGGCTCGCATGTGGCCCCCTGGAGGTGACCGCCTGAATGATCCGAGCGTCTCCTGGTCAGCGCGTCCCCGAACCCGCGGGGACCTATCCGTCCCCACCGCCCCCGGGGCTCGGTCTTCGGAGAGCTCGGCAGGCGGTGGGCATGGACACACTCGTGCCCCCTTTCGGGCCGAGCTGCTCCTCTCCACCGCTGGCCGGGGCCCCGGGACATCGCTTCCCCCAGCGCGTCCCCGGACCACACCTTTCAAGCAGTGGCGAAGCGTCCTGGCGTGCCTACAGGCCTATTAAAGAATGTTCCAATCACGTTTTGTGGTTTCCACGAAATGTTCTTAGACCATGTCTGACTGGGGCTGACTTGTCTTAACACATCGGGGTGATGTTCTAAGAAGATGGTCTGTTTCATAGAACATTGTTGGTTTTAAAGAACATGTCGTGGTAGGCCTACAAGAATGCCGGGACGGTCGGTCCCTGCTCAAAGCGCGAACCCGGATCGTTCTTTGGACCTCCTCGTTGCGTGATGTCCAGCCCCAAACCAAAACCATGGTTTGGTTCTGGAGGTCGCGAGCCCAGTCGCCGCCGCGTTCGCAGCGGCCGCTCATCGGGGCAAGGTTCTTGTCAAGGAGGGGCATGCCCTTCCGAACCCGCCCCCCGCTCTGCGATGCAGACGTGGCACATACTGCACAATAATGCAGCAGGCAGCTGTCAACGTATGCCAAATGTGGGCAGTGCTGTCTGTTTGGTCAGTTCGCGCGACGCGTTTTCCTCGCCCTGGATTTGCGGCGCTCCTGCGTCCGCAAGGACAGCGTCGAGCACTCGAGCCTGACCTCGGCACGCTCCGAAGCTCTTCACGTTCTGAGGGCGCTCCCGCCGTCTCGTGGCCCCGCCCTTCTTCTCCGTTCTGCCCTCCGTGCCTGCTTCGCTTCCGACGCGCCCCGCCGACAGCCGACCGCGTGAGTAGATTTAAGTCGGGCCTGTCCCCCTACAGCTGGATTTTCGACGAGAAATAAAACAATACACCAAACATAATTTAAACATAGTCCAAACATAGTCTGGTGACTTTATATATATGACCTTTTTGGGGTACTTCTGAGTATTTTTTGTTTTTGACTCAAAATCCCCCTGTAGGGGGACACGCCCGACTTAAGAGTAGTTCCAGCTCGCCGCCGATAAAAACCATTTGTCTGGGCGAGAAGCCCCACCATGTGCAGTTGCGAGTCGCGCTCGGCAGGCGAGACGAGGGAGGGAGGGCACGCAACGTGCGAGAAGGGGGGGCCGACATGGGTGCGGTGGCGCCACGCGGGCCCTCCCGCCGGGGCCTTCGGTGGGGCTCCCCATGGGGGCCGAGACGCGCGAGGGGTTTGCCGAAATAGGCGCGGCGGCGCCGTGCGAACCTTCCCTCTGGGGTTTTCGGTGGAGCTCCCTCTGGGGCCACGAAGTGTGAGGGGCGTGCCAAGACGGGCGCGGTGGCGCCAGGCGGACCCTCCCGCTGGAGCCTTTCGGTGGGGCCCCTCGGAACGTGTGTGGGGATGTGCCGAAATGGGTGCGGGGGCGCCAGGCGGAGCCTCTTCTGGGGCCTTCGCTGTAGCTCCCTTTGGGGCCACGAAGCGTCTGACGGGTGTGCCGACACGACGACGAGGAGCGAGGAGGATGCAAGAGGAGGGGCGGAAGAAGGAGGGTGGGAGGTACTCGGGGCGATGCCATCTCAAACAAGGGCCCGACATCACAGGATGGATGGTCTGGGAGCACACGTTTCGGTTCGGGGCCCGACTCTCACGCGCAACCGCCCCCCTCGCCCCCGCTGGGCTCCTGGCCCCCGCGCTCGCAGCCCGAGCTCGTGCTGACCGTCTTCGCCCCGGTCCTCGGGGAGCCGCAATGGGGGGGCGGCCGGCCGGCGACGGCGCCGGCGGGCCCCATGATTTGCCACACGGGGTGTTCCAAGGGGAGGGCGGGGAGGGCCTCCTCCTTGGGCAGGCCGCTGGAGCGCTCGCTTGGGGCGCCAGGGCCTCCTCCTCCTCCCTTTCCTCTCCTCCTCCTCCCCTCCTCCTCCACCTCCTCCTCCTCCCCTCCTTCTCCGCCTCCTCCTCCTCCTGCCATTCCTCGAGAGAGTGAGGAGGAGGAGGAGGAGGAGGAGGAGGAGGAGGAGGAGAAGACAGCACGGTTCGCAGTCCTGAGTCCTCAGGAGCAGGAGGAGGAGGAGGAGGAGGAGGAGGAGGATCGAGGAGGAGGATCGAGGGCTTAACCTCGAGAGGAGTCGGACTCTCAGGATCGAGGTTTTTGGGGGGTGGTCGGTGGTCGGGTGGTCGCTGTTGGACACCTCTCGCCCTATGCGAAGACATGCCCCCCCCTCCCCTTCGACGAGCGGCTGCCAGGCGCCCCGCGCCGCGGCCGGGCGGCACAGGGAGGTCCTCCGCCTCTCTCTCCTCTTCCTCGACCTCCTCGATGAAGGAGAAGAAGATCAGAGGATCCTTCTCCTGCTCCTCCTCCTCCTCCTCCTCCTCCTTCTCGTCCTCCTCCTCCTCCCCCTCCTCCTCCTCCTCCTCCTCCTCCTCCCCCTCCTCCACCTCCTCCCCCTCCTCCCCCTCCTCCCTCTTCCTCCTCCACCTCCTCGAAAGGATAAGAACATCAGGTGAGGAAGAGATCCCGATACCGCTACAGTGGGTGCTCGCATCAAGAAACCATTCATTTGCTTTCCGTCGGGGCATCCTGGTTTTTCTCGCTCCGTGCACTGCGCGGTGACTTCCCGCGGCGGCTGAAGGAGCTGCTGCTTTTAGGGTGCTCTGGGCTTCCCCTCCTCGCGCACTGGTTTTCAGGGTTGGGTTTCTTGCGAGGGTTTTTTTGCGGTCGTGCCCGCACTGTACCATTCCTTCGTCGCCACGCCTGGACTCGCCTTGCAGTTCTGGTCAGAGCGCACCCCTGGAGAGACCCGGGGGGTGCGGTATGGGTACCTCGCAAGCATGGAGAGGGGTATGGGTATGGGTACCGCGCAGGCACGGAGACAGGCGCGGTTGGGTATGGGCACATCGCAAGTATGGGCACCTTGCGGTAATGTCTCCCCCCAGAGGAAGAATCGGAGTCACGCAGGCATGGAGCAAGGCGCGCCGGGTTGGCGACAGGGTCCCGTTCCCGCACAAAATCGGCGCGCTCTGTCGCCGAACCAGGCGGTATGGGCTGCCTGCGTCGGGGTGTGCGTTCCCGACCCATGGATTTGGCGCCCGCGCGCCAGAACCGAAGATGAGTACACATTGTTCATGTCTACTTCTTCGAAAGTTATTTTTTGTTAGGGGGACAAGATCCTTTCATGTCTAATTGTTCTATCCTGGGCCTCTTCCTGGCCACTTGGGGGGCCAGGAACAATTGGAAACGAACACGATTAGAAATGAGCACGATTAGAAACGAAAGACGTGTAATCCATGTTAGCGTGCGCCCGAGAAGAACGAACATCGTAATGATTGCCATCGGGAGGGGGTCTCGAGGGAAACGTGTTTTGAGTCCATGTTTATTCTAGACGCTTCGCGTGACCCCACTTGTCCGCAGTGTCGTCCGCTCCTGCGCACCCAGTGGGTAATTTAGGCCATTGCTTGTTTGCAATTCCCTGACGGCGCCTGGCATCTCTGCGCGCTCGCGAACAAAACGTGACCCCACTTGCTGATCCGACGACGATGCCCAGGCGAGTTGCGCTGCTCAGGGACGTGGGAACTCTTAGGGCCTCTTGGTGGCCGCTCAGGCGCCTCTTGGGGGCGTCTTGGGAGCCTCGTAGGGCTGCTTGGGCGCCGCTTGGGGCCATCTCGGGACCCTCCTGGGGCTCTCTGGGGATCGCTGGAGGCTTTCTTTGGGAACATGTTGGGGGACATCGATCCAAGAGGGGGTGTACTCAATTGGCGTCCCCCCTCTGGAGCCCCCAATGTCGCCTCTTGGGGCCGTCTTGGGGCCATCTGGGTCTCTCTTGGGGCCCCCTCCTGGCCATCTTGGAGCCATCTTGATGCCTCGGGAGCCCATCGGACGCGCAAGGGCGAGATGTATTGTACTTGGGTGTTGTACCGGGTTTGGCAGGGCCTCCTTCGGAGTCTCCGTGGCCCCTGGGAGCCATTTTGGGATCAGCATGGAGCCTCCCCGAGGTATCATGGAAGCCATCGTGGGCCAACTTAGACCACATTGCGGCATCTTGGAGGCCATCTTAAAGAGTCTGGGGCCACCGTGGAGTGCCCCCATGGGCCAAAAGCCTTTGGAGGGTGCTCTCGGAACGCCATCCACTACTCTTTCAACACCTCTGTTTGGTATCAGTATTTGTGTTGAGCAAAGAAGGGGTGTATTTAATTAGCGCCCCCCCTCTGGAGCCCCCAGGCTCGCCAGGGTCGCCTGATGGACCCTCCTTGGGCGCTATCGGTGCTGTCTTGGGGCCACTGTTGGCCCCCATTGGGGCCATCTTGGGCCCTCTTGAAGTCATCTTGAGGCCTCGGGAGCTCATCGGAAGCGCCGGCGAGGGGACCAACATCATCGATTGCTTTTAGGATGAAATTGTCCTCTTGGGGCACGTGACCACAGCAACGCCAGTGGGGACAGGGATCGATTAAGGGGTCGGTTCAACGATGCTCACTCCCAGGTCACCCTCCTGAACACGATCATATTCTGCTGGATCTTCTGCGCCATCAGCAGGCGACAAGCGCCACGCCTCCTCGCCCTCTTTGCAGGAGAAGGAGGAGGAGGAGGAGGAGGAGGAGGGGGAGGAGGAGGAGGAAGAGGGTGAGAACCCTCCTTCCGCGATCCGCCGTCCTCATCCTCCTCTTGTTCATCCGCCCTCCCTTTCCCCCCTCTCTCCCCTTGCCCATTCCTCCTCCCCCTGCTCTCCCACGCCAGGCGTTGTTGGTTGCCCATCTCCAGCCTGTTGTCCTGATGAGCACGCTGATGTCATGCTTGATCTACTTCGCCATCGCCCGACACGCTCCAGATCGGCGGGCCCCATCGCCATTCTGCAATACGAAAATTAGCCAGCGTAGGCCCCAAACAGTACGGCGCAACCACGCTCCGCCAGGCTGGCGCCGCATCCGCCGACCCGAAGCCGCGACAGCGCGATGCCGCGACGCCGCGACAAGACGACGGCGCACCCGCGCTCGCCAGGCTGACGCCGCATCCGCCGCCCTGGCGCCGCGACAACGCGACGGCGCATGGGCGCAGCACGAAATCAGCGCCCCATGGCGACGCGACGCCGAGACACCGCGTCGCCGCAAGCCGTGATGGCGCAACACGACGCCACGCGCATCTCGATTGTATGTCATTGCAGTATCCTTTGTCACCATGATGTTCCATTTCTGTTTTTCAGAGCTGGGCACCTTCAAGGCTGGAGGGTCTTCTGGCGACGGGCCGTCTGGCCCCGCGGATTCATTGGCGCTTGCTCCTGCACTCCTGCTCCTGGTGTTTTTGCGCTTGTGTTCCTCGTCCTCCACCTCAGCGGCGCTGCAGGGGGAGGGGGGGGCGTTTGGGGCATGGTGGTCTGCCCCGTGGAGTCGGAGGGAGGAGAAGCGATACCAACACCACCAGGTGGCCCACCTCCAGCGAGCTGGAGGCTGGGGATGTCTCGAGCGAGAGGGAGGGACCACACCACCAGGGAGACACCCCGTGCCTCCTCGCATCTCCTCGTCCTGGTGGTGTTGGTGTCGCTTCTCCTTGTTCCTACGGCGAGGGCGTAGATCTTGCCGAGCGCCCCGACGACCGGGAAGGGGCAGTCCAGGAAGATCCAGCTGGCCGCCGAGGCGGCACGTCGGCCAAGGCGAAGCCCTGGGGCCGGAACGAGCGTGGCAAGGCCCAGGAGCACGTTGAGGAGGAAGCCCGGGAAGCGGATGGCCTGGCGCAGCAAAGCCTGTATGGCCACCGCAGCGGCGCGGCGGCCCACTGGACGACTTGGAGCCCCGGGATGGGGAGGTATAGCCCTTGACGTGGAGGGCCTGGCCCAGGAAGATCCGGCTGGCCGTGGAGGAGGCGCGACGGCCTCGTGGAGACCCAGGGCTCAGCGCGAGAAGCCCGGCGAGACCCGTAGGGACGGTGGGCAAGCAGCCCATGAAGTGATAGGGTGTGATCACGCGAGTCCGGCCGGCCGCCGCGGCGGCATGGCGGCCCAATGTCAGGAGGGGAAAACCACACACAGACGCAATTCATCGTCGATTCCACTATGGGAAGTGGGGGGGAGACAACACCAAGAAACTATGGGGAAATATGGGGAATCCTTTTATTTGTGTCTATTTATTTGTGTGTCCCAGGGCCCCTGCACAATGGATTGTTGCGAGCGGGTTGAGCCGTTCAGCACGCAGCGCGTGAAGGTCATTACGCAGGTGATTGAGGTCGGCACGCAACCTGGGCTGCGGGTTTTGCTCGAGCGCAGATCTCGTCAGGGAAACGGCACAGGCCGTCGTGGACAGTTTCGCAGGCGCGGTTGGCCCGACGTCCGCGGGGCTCGTGCACTGGTGGCTCAGGTAGGACACGTCGGCCCCAGGCGGGCGCGCACACCGTCTGGCCCCGACATGGGCGATGCGATGCGCGGGGGAGCGCGACGTAATCGGTGGGGGAGCCGTGGGTCGGGCCGGACGAAAGGGGGGGATTGGGAAAGGGGGAGTTACGGAATTTGCTGCATGCCTAACCGAGGGGCCCATTCCTCGATACATAGCCGCCTCCGGCGCCGGGAGGCGCCGGGAAAATCAGCTACGTGAGCTGATTCTCAAACCCCCCCTTTGCTATCCCCCCCTTTCGCCCGACCCGAGTGGGGGAGCGCGACGTAACCGGTTCCGGGGGAGCTGCCGCGGCAGCTCCCCCGCCCCCGTAATCGTCTCCTGGTGGCAGCTGCTGAGGGGGAGCGATCGATCGGGCGGCAGCCGCTGTGGGGCTTGGTATCGCTCGGGCGTGTGCACTTTTTTTATCGGTGGGGAGTCCTAAGGAGCATCCTGGGCCTCCTGCGAGAAAGCCGCGCGCGAGACCGAGAAACGCCACAGGGAGTGGGCGTCCGAGCGATGGCCAGGGGGGGAAGCACTCAGGAGGGGAAAAAACACACACAGACACGATAATTCGTCGATTCCCAGGAAAACATGGGGAAATATGGGAAGTGGGGGGGAAGACGAAACCCCCGACTGGGTGGGAAATATGGGAAGTGGGGGGGAAGTGGGGGGAAGTTGTGTGTCCTGGGGCGCCTTCAAGCACGACGTGGTCGGTTCCGCCGAGCAGCGGACGCAGCGGGCCACGCCGAGGTCACCGCCGCGCCCGCGCACGCGCCCGGGGGGGCGGCGACGGCGCGGCACGGCCGCGGCGCGGCTGCGGCGCGAGGGGAGGGCGGCGGTGGCGGTGCGGGTCAGTCTCAAGGCTTCGGGGGGGGCTCGGGAGGGACAACAACACACAGGCACAGTGAACTGTCGACTCCCCCGCGAGAATGTGGGGAAGATCTGGGAAGTGGGGGGGAGGAAACGAAAGCCAAGAGCATGTGGGGAAATAGGGGGAGTCCGGGGATCCGTGTGTATTTGTGTGTGTGTGTGTGTGTGTGTGTGTGCGTGTGTGTGTATTTGTGCGTGCGTGCGTGCGTGCGTGTGTGTGTGTGTGTATTTGTGTGTGCGTGTTTGTGGGTCACTTCAGGGACGCAGCCAGCCTGCCCATGTGCGGGCTTTGGGGGGGAAGGGCCCCTGGGAGGGTCCTGCACATGCGCTCGCCCGCGTTCCTGCGGGCGCTCGTGCCCGGGCCTGCAGAGAGAGAGAGAGAGAGAAACACAAAAAAACAAACAACAAAAAAACGAACAGAAACATAGAGAAGCACGATATCGATAGAAAGAGAGAAAGAGAAAGAGAGAGAGAGAGAGAGAAAACAAATCAGACAAACAAAGAGAGAGAGAGAGAGAGAGAAAAAAAAAAGAGGGACACAGTGAGAGAGAGGGACAGGCGGACGGGGCGAGAGAGAGGGAAGTATTAAGAGAGAGAGAGAGAGAGAGAGCGAGAGCGACAGAGAGAGAGAGAGAGAGAGATGCGCGCGCGCACGCGCACACACACACACACACACACACGGCAGCTGGAAAAAGTGTTTGGGGCCCGCCCTTCCACTCTTTCCAGCCCTTGCCAGTTTTCTTCTATGTGTTCCAGCCCTGGCGGCAGCATCCCTATTGAGTCGGGCTCGCTTCACCCACCCACTGTCAGTTTTTCCAGCCCTTGCCACCTCCACTTTCACTGACTTTCCAGTTTCCCTGTACGTATGATATACCTACAGGTATGGGGAGAGAGAGAGAGAGAGAGAGAGACAGAGAGAGAGAGAGAGAGAGAAAACGCAGAGAGCGAGATGTCCAACACCACGGGCGGGAGGTGCAGAAACAGCAGGGTTACGATCAGGGGCCCGAACGCTAGCAGGTGCAGGAGCCATGACCAGGAGAAGGGGAACGCCACCGAGACGGGGGCCACTGCAGTGCAGCGTGGCCCGCGCAACCCGGTTCGCTTCTGCGGAACAGATCTGGGGCGACGCCAGGGGGGGGGGATGGGCTCCGGGGGGAACGCGTCGACCCCATGTCGCCCACCCATCGCCGAGAAGTGCCCGACACCCCCCCATGTCCATGCGTTTTTGCTCTCGGGGCCCGTCGCCGATCCGTCGGCGATGCATCGCCGAGTCCAGCTCGACGTTTCCCCCCCCGAGCCAGTTCCCTCCCATCGTTCCCCCTCGTAGCATCAGGCGGCGTGCATGTCCTCCATCGCGGTCTGGGTAGGATCACGGGGAGGGGGGCGGGAATGCGTGGAGGACGGGGAGAATGAGGAGGAGGAGGAGGAGGAGGAGGAGGAGGAGGAGGAGGAGGAGGAGCAGGTTGGAGGAGGAGGAGGAGCAGGGAGGGGGAGGAGGTTGGAGGGGAGGGGGGGGGGAGGAGCAGCGTGGAGGGGGAGGGAGTGCGTGGAGGGCGGGGAGCAGCTCGAGACAGAGGATGAGGAGGCGGTGAGGGAGCAGCCGGCTGGTGGTCAGGAGGGATGTGCGTCGTGGCTTGCGGGGTGCCGTCCTGCGAGGTTGATGGAGAAGCTCAAGGAGCAGAGGCAGACCGAGAAGTTCCGGCGGCCCTTCCCGCTCGGCAGAGCACGCCACCCTGGCGCACTCCCGGCTCGAGCCCCTTCGCGGTGGTCGAGCGTGCGGGGATTTCTCCCGCCGCCCCCGACCATCCCGCCTCCCTCCACTGAGTTCGGCCCCTTCCGCAGAGCTCTCCGTCCCTATCCGCCCTTTGCCTCCCATCTTGAAGCCCTCTTCTTCCTCCTCTTCCTCGCCGACGGAGTCCTACGCTGCTATCGAAGTATTCATCCTCCCGCTGTAAGAATTCCAACCTCATCTTACCTCTTCCCTCGGCTCCTTCCCTCCCATCGCCTCATTTCATGTTTGTCTCATTATTGTCTCTTCTGGCACCCATGCGTTCGCAGGCGACCGAGAGGATACCTCCGCACACATGGATGGCTCACTCGCCTGTGGTTCCCGTTCTGACTTAGTCTGCTCGTGGTTGGTCTTGTTTGGTCTGGTCAGTCAAGGCAGTCTCGTCCTGAATACGAGTAGCCTTCGCCCCATCTCGCCACCATTCCTTGGTCGTGGGCCAGATGCCTCTTAGATGCCCATTGGGGTCTCTTGGGATGCCTCTCGGGGGCCTCTCGGAGGCCTCTTGACGGCCTCTTGGGAGTCTTTTGGGGGTCCCCTGGGGGGCCTCTTGGAAGCCTCTTAGAGGCTTCTTGGAGTCTCTTAAGCGCTTTGAGAACTCTTGGGGGGCATGGTGTGGGTGTCTTGTGGGACATATTTGCGAATGCCTCTCAAGGCCACTTCGATTTCCCCCTTGTTTGTCACCTTACGCGGCGTCAGGAAATAGCGCGCAGGTCGTCACGACACGATCCTGCCGTACTCTCTCTCTCTTTCTCTCTCTTTTTTTTTTTTTCTCTCTCTCTCTCTCTCTTTCTCTCTTTCTTTGTTTCTCTCTCTCTCTCTCTGTCTCTCTCTCTCTCTTTCCCTCTTTCCTCCCTCCTTCTGGAGAGGCTTTCTAGATTCGACTCAGACAAGTTTACTTTCATGGCATTCCCCCCCCCTTCGCCGCAGTTTCAGACATCGCTGGGCTGAAAAGTCGTGCAAGTGAGCCCCGGCTGGCGTGAAGTCCCGATCTCCTTCCTGGCCTCGCCACGTCTCAAGTCTCTCCCTCCATGCAAGTCAACATCCGGGCCGGACGAAAGGGGGGGGATTGGGAAAGGGGGGGGGGTACGAAATCTGCGGCGTGCAGCTGGGAAAAAATGCCCCCCCTTTGCCCTCCTCCCCTTTCGCCTGGCCCGAAACACTGCCGGAGTCTCGATAGCAGCAGCCTTTGGGGCAGCGGCCGAGACGAGGACGGCGACGGCGCAGCGACGACGGCGCCGAGCGTGCAGGCCAGCGCGTGCCCGATCGGGGAACCGCCCGCCCGCCCGCGGCAGGTTCCAGCTCTTCCTGATGCTCCTCGCGGTGCTCATCGCGGCGATAGGCTCCTGCCTCGCTCCTCCCTCCTCCTCCCTCCTCCTCCTCCTCCCTCCCTCCTCCTCCTCCTCCTCCTTCCTCCTCCTCCTCCTCCTCCTCCTCCTCCTCCTCCTTCTCCAACTCCCCCTCCTCCTCCTCCTCCTCCTCCTTCTCCTCCTCCTCCCCCTCCTCCCCCTCCTGCGCAAGGCGCAGCACGGGCCGCGCTTGGGAGCCCCAGCGCCGCCCGAGTCCGAAGCTGCGGATCGGGCGGACGTCTCTCTCTCGGCACTGTGTCTGGCTGCGCTTGCCAGCGAGGAGCTGGTTGTCGAGGTGCCGAAGCAGCATGCGTACACGAAGGCCATCAGGGCGCCCTACGGGGGCGAGGAGAGTCTCCTTCCGTGGGGCGTGTGGGAGCCCCCGCCGTCCGGCGCGGTGGAGGTGCAGAACGTGGAAGAAGCTCTGGATGATGTCTGTCGCGTTGGCCCTGCGGATCGCCCTGCTCTTCCTGAGCCAGCTGAGGACCCGTCGAACGATCGGTGCACGATGCTCGTTTCGGGGACCTTCCTGGAGCCCACCTAACGGATCTGTTCGACCCCAGTTCGACTCAATTTCGTTTCAAGTTCGACTCAAGTTCTACTCAGGTTCGACTCAGGTTCGACTCAGGGTCGACCCAAATCGACTGTCGTTCGACGCAGCTTCGACGCACGAGTGGAGCGAGTGGCTCCAGGAAGGTCCCCAGAACGAGCATCCAAATCCGTGCACGGGGTGCATGACCTGGGACGGTTCCTGGTGCCCTGGGCTTGTGTGCTCGCGCCGCGAGACGTCGTGCCAGGGTGATGTTTGCGATGGCAGCTTAGAGCCAGGGTCCCGTGCCATCCTGTGTGTCGTGTGCAACTTGGCGAGGAGCCCAGACTGCAATGATATCATCAACGGTCTTCGCGACGGCAGTGTGACGTCGATGTGACCGTCCAGGACGTACGTCGTCGGACAGGTACAAGCTCTTCGGCGATGTCAGCAACAACCGAGCCAACCGTACATCAGTGCCGTACCCGGCGGCATCTTGGTATCGACGATCTTCTCATTCAGTCGATCTTCGTAGCGTGCCTCTTCGCGGTGGCCGTGTTCTGCTTCGTGGTGGTGCGCTTGCCAGGCTTGACCGCGAGGATTCGTGGAGAGCGTACAGTGGCTCCTCCCCGTCCTCTCCCTTTTTTTTCTCCTCCTCCTCCTCCTTCTCTTCCTCTTCATTTTCGATCTCCAAGCATCAGAAGTTAGAAGGATTCCAATACCGGTGCCATTCCTTCTTCGCCACCCTCGGATTCGTTGCGGACTCCTGGTCAGAGAACGCCCCTGGAGAGGGCCAGGGAACAGCGGCATCGGTGCCGTTTTGGCCTACCCGGCCCGGCAAACAAATGCCGGGGGCGACGACGACGAAGAGCCCCTCCCCCGAAAGGCCCAGAAACCTCAGACGGTGGCGACGACGACCCCCACCGTCGCCGGACCAGGCGTGGCCACGCTGGCGCTGCTCGTGGAGGTGTACAACCTGTCGAAGCCGCCGCAGGCGGTGTGGAAGCACCAGGCCTGGCCCGCGCGCCGGCGGGGCCTGAGACGTGGTCGTGTTCTCCTGGCAGCTTCCTTCCACCTTCGGGGATGATAAGAAGAGGGCCAGTCGAGATGGCCTTCAGGGGGCCCCCTGGTCACCACCGTTGGACGCATCTCGGAAAAAATGGTACGCTTGGACCCCAGAAGATGTCGGGGGGCCGATCTTGAGCCAACGTTGTCCCAACTCGTTTACCGACGCTCGAGGACCTTGAGATCTTGTTGTTGCATCTGTTGGTCGCACCGGGCGCGTTTGCTTAGATTTTTGGCCCTGGCATCATCACAGATCGATCCGGCTTGAAACATGCAGCAGGCAAATGGGGTCTACGTAGGGTTTCAGTCGTGATTTATCGCGACGTCGCAATGTTTTCGCAACTTTGGACGTCAGGGGATGGACGACAGTTGGGGGACAGGTTACCCACCGCTCGTTGATGGTATGCGTTTCTGGATTCCCTGGTTCAAATCCGCTTTCGGCTCCTTGTGACAATAATCGAGCGGTTTTCCATGTTTGTTTCCTTGTCAGGGGGCGGGCTGAAACAGTCTACGTTCAACGCATTCCTGCTTCCTCCTCGTGCACGATAGCTGTGTTGCATCTTTGGGGGACACGGGCTCTCCTGTGAATGGCGGTTGTTTCTCGTACCTGACGTGGGCTCGACGCGAATTCGGGTGGGTTCGACGCGGATTCGACGCGTTCGACATGGATTCGGTGCGGACAGAACGCGATGGGGCAGACAATGTCTCCCCAATGTGCAACACCTTCGCTAACCAGTGCATCCTCCCAGATCGCTTGCCCGCGCACGCGCGCGTGAGAAACGGAAGGGCCCCAACGCGCCCTCTCGCCTTCCCCGCGCCCAGCGAACGAGCGCACAGGACGACACCGAAGAAGATTCGCGCTTTGCCTCCATGACCGTGGAAAGCTCATGTGCAGTCGAGTGCCACCGTTGGCGCCCAGCCCAGGACGCCCAGAAGGCGACAGGGCTCCAGGAACCCGCAGGAGGATCGAAGAGTGCCCATGAGGTCCGGGGGAGCCCCAGGAGATTTGGACATCCCATGAGGCCCCCCCCCCCGTCGCAGCATGTGCAACAGGAAGCGTGAAAGAGCTCGGGAGCGCCCAGGTGGACTCGCTGGGCTCCAGGAGTGTACAGGCGGCCCCGGGCGCCCATGCAGGCCCAGGAGGATCGCCCAGGGGCAATATCTGGCGTGCGGTTCTGGTTGTCCTCCCTGGAGGGAGGGAGGGAGCGAGGGAGCAAGAAGGGGAACGGAGGGAGAGAGGGAGGGAGGTAGGGAGGAACGGACATGGGGTTGTTGTGGGAGGGGGGGCCGGGCGACAGCACGGTGAGGACGACGAGGGGGAGCTGGCAGGCTGGGGAGGACGGCTCCTGGAGGAGGACGAGGGAGGAGGAGGAGGAGGAGGAGGAGGAGGAGGAGGAGGAGGAGGAAAAGGAGGAGGAGGAGGAGGAGGAGGAGGAGGAGGAGAGAGAAGGGAGGAGGAGGAAGGGAGGAGGAGGAGGTGGAGGAGGGGGAGGTGGAGGAGGGGGAGGAGGGCGCCGTGGCGCCGCCTGGCCGAGCATCCCACAGCCCTGCTCTGGCGGCGCACGCCGCTGCCGCCACGGGCGCACGCCGAGCACGCCCAGCGGGGGGGTGCACGCCGGCCTGTCTCGGCCCGCGCACAGGACGATGACGAGGGCGAGGACGACGACGACGACGACGACGACGACGACGACGACGACGACGGCGACGGCGACGACGACGACGACGACGACGACGACGACGACGACGACGACGACGACGACGACGACGACGAGAGGGCGGCGACGACGACGACGACGACGAGGACGAGGACGGCGACGGGCCAGTGGGGGTGTGCACCCTGGGGCCGTCTTGGCCCGTCAGGTGTCAGCCCTTGTCGGGGGCGTCGACGAGGCCCCGAGATCCAGGCGAAGCTGATTTTGCACGCCGGGCGGCTATTCGCCCAGCTTCGGGCCCCGGGGCCGTCACAGATCGATCCAGGTCGACAGACGCCGCCGAAATATGGGGTCCAGGGTCCCAGTCGTGACCTCTCGCGATGTTTCAGTTGTTCGCAGTGTCGGATGTCAGGGGGGGTACCCACTGGCGACGAGCGCATGCAGCGCGGCCATGTCCGTGCCCTCGCGTTCTGCATGCCGCGGCACGATGCCGTGGGCACGCGCCCGCACGGATGCCTTCCGCGCGGGGCCTTCCGCGCAGAGCCGCCCCGGATCCACGGAGTCGCGGCCGAGGAGCCCGGCCTGCGGGGCCATGGGTCTCTGGATGCCACCGCGTGGGCCCCCGCTGCCTCATGCAGTGCATGCCCTGGTGGGCATGCCTTCCACCACCACCACCAGAAGCTGGAGGGGGGAAGGAGGAGGAGGGGGAGGAGGAGGAGAGCGATGAAGAGCAGGATGGGGGAGGAGGAGGAGGAGCAGGAGGAGGAGGAGGAGGGGGACGAGGAGGAGGAGGAGGTGGAGGAGGAGGAGGAGGAGGAGGACCCCCTCCCCCTGTTGCTTGTGGTGGTGGTGGAGGACAGCAAGCCCATCATGCCCTCCCGGTCTCCCCCCCCCCTCGTCCGCGCACCGGCCGCACGCGCGGATGACCCTGCGCGCGGGCCTCTGGGCGCCGGGCCGGGGGCTGCTCCTGCCCCCAGCTGGCCTGACGGATGGCTTGCGTGCGCCAAGATGGCTTGGGCCAAAATGGCTACGGACCCCCCCCTCGTGATCGTTCTCCTCCTCTTCCTCCTCCTCCCCTCCTCCTCCTCCTCCTCCTCCTCCTCCCCTCCTCCCCCCTCCCCCCCTCCCCCCCCCCCCCCCTCCCCCTCCCCCTCCCCCTCTCCCTCCCCCTCCCCCCGGGGAGCCCCGGCGCGCGGGCCCCGCCCGCCCCTCCAGGAGGGCGCGGGGGCTGGCCCTGCCGGGGGGGGGGTCGGCCCGTGCAGGGTGGGCACCACCGAGGGGCCACGGCGCCTGCGGGCGGCACGGCTCCCGGGAGGGTCTTCGGGGACGCCTCCCTCGACCATGAAGTCGGGCCTGTCCCCTCTACAGAGGGGGATCTTCGAGGAAAAATGCAAATACCCCACAACATAGTACAAAGATAATCCAAAAATGGTCTGGGGACCATGCTTTGAGTATTGTTTGGCCTTTTTGGGGCAATTGTGAGGTATTTTTTTATGTTTCGTCGAAAATCCCCCTGTAGGGGGACACGCCCGACATAACTCTACCAAGCACTGGCGAAGCCCTCTGGCCTGTCTATAGCCCTACCAAACACTGTTCTAAGAACCCTCTGTGGTTCCCACGAGATGTTCTTAGAACATTTCTGGCGAAGTCTGTCTTGGTTTATCGCATTGGGTTTATGTTCTGAGAACATTGTTTGTGTTCTTAGAACATCTTAACATCTTCAGGTTCTAAGAATATGTCGTGGTAGGACTATAGGAATGCCGGGACGGTCGGTCCCTGTTCAATTCTAGGCCTCCCAGATGGGGTTGGAGCACACATTGTTCATGTCTAATTCTTCGAGAGTTCATGTTTTTTTTTGGGGGGGGGGCAAGGTCCTTTCATTTCTAATTGTTCCATCCTGGGCCTCTTCCTGGCCGCTAGGGGGCCAGGAACAATCAGAAGCGAGCACAATTAGAAATGAGCACGATTAGGAATCAACGACAAGTAGATGGGGTCGGAGGATCGCGCCGCATCCCCAGTGCATCGCCCCGATGCGGCTCGACGCGGAGCCCGATGTTGTTTCACGCCGACGTCGCCGATGCATCGCCGACGTCGACGATGCATCGCTGGTGCATCGCCGATGCATCGCCGATGCATCGCTGATGTATTGGCGAAGCGGCGCGATCTGCCGACCCGCTCTACTCCGACCCTATCTAGGAGGCCTCTGCTTTTGAAGGGCCCTGGCCGCGGTGAGGTTCTGGAGCCAGTCTCGGAGCTTCGCGAGGGTGCCCCTTCCCGAGGGTCGGCACCTGGAAGGCCGCGCTCCGTCGACGGTCGGGAACCTCAGCTCGGCGCTCTTCGCGTGTCGCGCCGCGGGTTCTGGCCCAGCACGCCTCGGCGCGACACGCTACCGATTTCCCAGACGTCCCGAGCTCTTCCCAGCCTCCCGCTCGGCGGAGCGGAGCTATCAGCCTGCAGGGGATGGCGTAGCGTGTCGCCGGGGCCGCCGCCGCGACGCGCTACGGTAGGTCAGGGTCATGCGGCGATGACTTGCCAGCGACGCCCAGGAAGGCGTTCAAAGTTGAATTCCGCATGATTGACCGATGCGGAAGCACCGATGGACACGGCAACGCCACTGGACCCGACTGAATTCAGTTTTGAACGATCGGGGCCGCGATCGGTTCGAGGTTGAAAGATTGATGCGGTGTCAGAAATTTTGGCGTGCGCCGACGCCGCGCGAGCTTCCCAAGAGCACAATATCTTGGCCGCAGATCCGTTATCGGGGTCGCGGCAGCTGGTCTGCAATGTGTCGTCATGGGATCTCCATCGGCCGCAAGATCTTGGGCGGCTGGCCAGGGGATTCCTTGTGAACGGTCTGGCCGCGGGCGAGGGCCTTTGTGCTGCAGCAGGCGTTACGCCACCTCAGCATATCAGTGGGCAGGTTCACCGTTTGGACCGTGTGGCCTCGCGCTGGCGCGGTGGCCCTGCCGCTGTCGATCGCAGGTGCCCGTTCTTTCCCCCAAGCAGCGCTTGCACTGTGCAACGGGTGATTGGCTTTTCTCCAGCACGTCGGTGCCGCCGCTCGTGGCCGCATCGCTGCCACCGCGTTGCCGCCTCGTCGCCGCCTCGAATACGTATGGTGGCCTGCGCTTCCAGGCGTTTTTGCCTGGTCGCCACTTCGTCGCCGCCTCGTGGCCGCCCGCCGTCACCTCTTCGCCGACCCGTGGTCGCCTTGTGGACTCGCTGTGCGCTCGCACCGCACAGCTTGCACAACATAGCGCGCAGCACATAGTTCACGTACGCCAAGTAGTTTTCAGCACACAGCTTGCGCCATATAGCTCCCACGCCCAAAGTGCATCAACCACTGTTTGGGGTCAACGCTGGCTCTGCGAAAGACATCCGCTCGCCAACCTTCGGGCGCAACGGGTAGCATCTGGGAGTCCACGATACAGTCCACTCGTATCGCGCTGGGCGAGATAGTCGTCTCTCCCGTGTCATGAAATGGCCCGTGTGGGATTCGACCGTCGTTGATACCATGCCATCTGAGAGCAGATAGACGTTGTGCTCCTAGGACCCGGGAAATGGTCGCGGCCGCGGCGAGTTTTGTCATAAATGAGATCCGCTCGCCAGTGGATTCTCACGGACGCCGTGAGCCACTTGCTCTTCCTGGTCGGCGCCCCGCGCATTCAGCGTCGCGCGCGCAATGCTGTGGCCGCTCCTTGGAGATGCTAGTCCTCGTGCTCCTCTACTGTATCTTCTTTCTTTTTAGGTTTGATCAATCGTTGGCTGGGAGCGAGGGGGCAAGCAGCGAACGACTCATTGGGGTTGCCTGGACTGCTGAAGTAGTTGGATGCACTGCAGACTGGCCACAAGTCAAGGGCCTGAGTACAGTTGCAGAATGCGGCATCCAGAGGTACGCTACATACCCATAATTCAATACTGCTTTCTACAAGCTAGACTGTAGCGAATCTGGACTACCCTCATTCCTTACGTGTTGTAGGTGCTCAGGATCTCGAGCCGCAAGCTACGCTTGCGTGCCCAATTGAAGAACTCACTTGGTTTATCATCCGCAGCACGGTCTAGTATCGTGAACCTGGACCGCACTTTACAGATGCACGACGTTGCGTGTTCCGATCTATCGATTTGACCCATCAGCGCGAAAGTACACCCAACCCTCCAATGCACAAGCCCTCCCATCCCTTGCCTTCTCTCTCGCGTGACTGTTGGAGTGCGATTCGAGCCTGCCTCCGCTACGAGCATCCGGGTGTTCCCACGGCTTCGTATGATGGTTATTTTGCAGGGTTTTCTTGTTGTATCTTTCACATTCTGAAGGCCCCAGTCGCGTCGTCTTGCCTCCAAAGTCGCTCACACATGCGCGTCAGGAAGTATGACATCGGGGGCGAAGTTCTTACACGCTACATGAGCAATGCTAAATCGTTAAGCGTGTCACATGATTGGCACATGTCTAACACAGAAGGTGAGGCTGTCGGCGAGTCGCCTTAGCTGGAAATTGGTCAGCGCCACCATGTGTTTCAACAGTTCATGGGTCGGTACTTCGCTTTTGCCATGCCATGGTGTCATGTCAACTCGTTGGAGGCAACATGTTGAGCTGAATCATGGCCATAGCTTGAGCCTAGTTCTTGCTTGAGCTGAGTTGTGGCTACGAAATAAATGGAGTTCCTCGCCCCTGCTCCCCCCGGTCCTCCTCGAACAAAACATGGCGAGAGTCCATGCCCTTGATGCGTTCCCTGCTCCTCCCCCTCCTCCCACTCTTTTTTTCTCCCATCTTCCTCCCGCCTCGCCCTCCTCCTCCTATCCTCCCCCTTCTCCTCTCCCCTCCCTTGCCGCCCCCGCCGCCGGGCGGTGCTGTCCGCGCTGACGACGGCCGTGACGACCGCGACGATGGCGGCGAACGACGGCAGCGGCGGCTACGACGGCGACGAAGGCGACCAAACGACGACGAGCGAAGACGGCCGCGATGATGACGACTGCGGCGAAAGACGACGACGGCGCGGCGGCGACGTCGGCGACCGAGGACCAGCGCGGACGGCGACCGAGGACCAGCGACGACGGCGACCGCTCGACGACCGATCCACGACGATGGCGGCGAAAAAACGACGGCGTGGCGGTGACGACGACGGCGACATCGATCGACGCGAGGCGCGTGCCGCAGCCTGCGATGATGTGGCCCTAATACTACATACATTCAGAGTACCATTAACCTCAGTGCGAATTCAAAAAAATATGGTCCTTTAGATTGGGAAGCGATAGTCTGTATATATATATATATATATATATTGTTTTAAAGGGTCTTGATTAAAAGCACGTCCGATCCTCAAGGGATGGGAGGAACACTGATAGCATCAGCAACCACTGCATTAATTACGTCATGGCCACCGGCCCCGTCAGCGGGGCACAACTGGCGCACAGAGTGAGCCTGAGGCACACCTGGCGCACAGAGTGAGCAGAGTTCTCCGGCCCCTCCCGGGGCACTGCTCTCGTGAGAGTTGCTAGTTTTCAATGGCCAAGGCGCCTGAGGCACAACTGTCGCACAGAGCCACCACAGGTTTCAGGCCGCTTCTAGAGGGGCTTTATCTCCGTGAGGGGCGCCACTTTTCAAGGCCAATGGCGCCTGAGGCACACGTGGCCCGCATAGCCAGCAGAGGTCTCCGGCCCTTCCAGAGGAGCACCATCATTGCGTTTGTCGCCTTTTCCCCAGAGGCCAAAGCGCCTGGCACACAACTGGCCCACAGAGCCGGCAGAAGTCTCCGGTCCCTCAGAATGGGCACCAACCCCCGTAAAGGTCGCCGTCGTTCCAGGGCAAGGACGCCTGAGGGACATTTGGCTTACAAAACCGGCAGAGGTTTTGAATATCCCCCCTGTAGAGGGTCTGGCCTCAAGGCGGGCCTGTCCCTCTACAGGGGGGATATTCAAAAATTGTGTAAAGAATGGTCTGGGGGCGATTTTTCTATGAGTTTTGATTCGTTTGGGGCATTTTTTGAGTATCTTTTTTCCCTTCCAGGGGGGCACCATCCTCGTGAGCTTTCTTTTGAGCCAGCAGACGTCTCCAGCCCCGCCCTCTCTCGAGGGCGGGGGTCGCCTGGCTATGACTGGCCCGCCAGAGTCTGCATGGGCCCCTGGCCCCTCCAGAGGGGGCACCATCCACCAAACCACCCCAACCCAACCCGAAGGCCCCAATTTATCCTCGATTTCCAGTTGGGGGGGGGTCGTGGAACATCGAGAAAACACATATGGAACCCGTACCCCCCCCAACCCGAAATTCGGGTCTTCGGGTTGGGTTGGGGTGGTCTGGTAGGTAGTCAGAAGGGGCACCATCCTTGTCAGAGTCGTCAGTTTTCAATGGCCTGGGCGCCTGAGGCACAACTGGCTTCCAGGGTCGGCATAGGTATTTGTCCCCTCGCCGGACGGGGAACCATCTTTGCGAGGGTCGCCATCTTTCCAGGGCCAGGGCACAAGAGGCAAAACTGACCCACAAAGCCGGCAGATGTCTGCGGCCTTTCCAGAGGGGCACCATTCTCGGGAGAGTCGTCAGATTGAAGGTGCCGAACGGTCATTCACTGTCCCTGGGCGCGTGGCTGAAGTGAGGTTCTGCGGTGCAAATTGTTGTTGTTGAACTCCCGTTAGTGAATAAGATTCATTGTTGATCCCCTTATAGGCACATTGTATTTTTCAAGTACAGTGTCCTTTCCCGGGGCTCGCACCCTGGTCTTTATCAGAGACGATCTCGGGTCTCAGAATTGGGCTTTTGGCCCGCGAGGTACAGAGGCAACCGTATTTTTAAGACTGTTCGCTCTTGTCTTCTGGAGTGCCGTTCAACGTGTATTTCCCAAGCCCTCGATACCCGCCCTCTTCGTCTTCGATCGTACCCCCTCTGGGGCGTATATTTTTCTTCCCCGCAGGCCGGGCCCCGGCAAGCGGATGGGCGGCCGCGGACCGTCGGCCGGGCCAGTGGCAGCGCTGATCGGCGGCAGCCCGACCCCAAGAGGGATGGTCAGGGGACCTACCACGACGGCGACGACGACGACGACGACGAGCGAAAGCGAGACGAGAGCGACAGCGGAGCCACGAAGGGCAGGAAGGGGGCCACGAAGGGCGACAGCGGGGCCACGAAAGGCATGCGTATTGGGCCACGAAGGGCGCGAACGAGCGGGGGCCACGAAGGGCAGATAACGCAGTGCCATAGAGGGCAACGACAGGGCTGCTGAGGGTAGCAAAGGGGCCACGTAGGAAAGCGATGGGGGGGGCCACGCAAGCCGACAGCGGGGCCACGAAGGGTGCGCGCATGGGGCCACGACGGGCGAGGACGAGCGGGGGCTACGGAAGGCATGCGTAAATTGGGCCGCAGAGGGCAAGGACGGCGCCACGAAGCGCTGCAACGGGGCCACGAATGGCAGCGAGGGGGCCACGATGGGCGACAGCGGGGACGCGAAACGCATGCAGATGGGGCCACGACGGGCGCGAACGAGCGGGGGCCACGAAGGGCGTGCATACACACACACACATATACATGTATATGTATGGGGCCACGAAGGGCAGCGAGGGGGCCACGAAGGGCTGCAACGGGGCCACGAAGAGCAGCGATGGGGGCCACGAAGGGGTGCGTGGGGGCCACGAAGGACAGCGAGGGGGCCACAAAGGATGCAACGGGTCCACGAAGGGCAGCGAGGGGGCCACACAGGGCTGCAACGTGGCCACGCAGGGCAGCGAAGGGTCCACGAAGGGCTGCAACGGGGCCATGACGGGCAACGAGGGGGCCACGAAGGGGTGCAACGGGGCCACGAAGGGCAACAAGGGGGCCACGAAGTGCTGCAACGGGTCCACGAAGGGCATCGCGGGGGCCACGAAGGGCTGCAACGGGGCTACGAAGGGCAGCGAGGGGGCCACGAAAGGCTGCAGCGGGTCCACGAAGCGCAGCGAGGGGACCACGAAGGGCTGCAGCTGGGCCACGAAGGGCAGCGAGATCCCGATTCTTAAATAAGCTGCGAGGGAGTCCTGGGCGTGAGCGCGACGCCTGGCTGTCTGAGTGTCGGGAGCGCGTCGCTTGAGTAAATTGCTGGGAACTCCAACGCAAAAGCGCGATTCTTGAGCACGATTCAACGAGAGTGCGATTCCAGAGCGCCGAGAACGATTCTTGAATAGATTGTAACGACGCCCCAAGAAAGAACACGACTCCTGAGTGACATGCGATGAGGTCTCAGGCGGGAGCGGGGGCCCTGGCCAAATTGTGAGGAAGTCTTAGGCGGGGGATGTTGTTGTTGTTGTAATCCGGGGGCCAGGGGCGCTGTTTCAGCGTGGTGACTTTCATAGAAAACCGGGTGCGAGCCCTGGAGGAAGCATTTCAATTGAAAAACACAATGGTCACCGGAGGGGGGATCAAAACTATTTGTTCTTCAGTAACGAGAACTCAACAACAATAACAACAGCAGCACCAACACCAACAGCAACCTCAACAACAACAACGACAACAACAACAGCAGCAGCAACAACAACACACATCGGGAAGCATGTCGGCCCCTACCATCTTTGTCGAAAACCAATGCCGAAGCCTGCGCACAGCAGGGCATACGACATCACCCCCGCCGTCCCTGTCAAAACCATTTGGCAGTAATCGCGGGTAGGCCGCGCAAGATCCAGATTTAGCCGCGAGGTGCATTGTGTATTGCTTCTTCGTCAGGGATGGTAGCCCTGCGCACAGCAGGCAATATGCTGACACCCTCGCCGTCCTTGTCAAAAACAATACAAAGTGCTCGCGGGTCTCACGAGCATGATTCAAGACTTTGCCCCGAAGTGTATTTTGCATTGTTTGTTGACAGGGATGGTGGGGGGCTTCATCGGGTTGGCCGCGCATGCTCCAAATGTGGAAGCATCATGTGTTCTGTATTGTTTTTTTTTGGGGGGGGGGATGATGGAGGGGGCCGCATCGGTTTGGCCGCGCATGCGTTTTGTATTGATTGACGGATGGTGGGGGAGTGTCCGCATGATGTCCTCATGGTTCCTGGTTGGCTGCCGGTCGCCCTGAGGAGGGGGGTGATTCGTGATAAACCCTTCCCCCGAGCAGGGGAAGGAGGGGTTGCGAAAAGAGAGAAGACAACATTCGTTAAACCACATACGCCCAGAGGGCTGGTGGGATTTCGCGCACCCAGAAAAGTATCGAAACAGTGTCTGCCCGACACGCTGGCGAAGTGTCGAACGACCGGGACTTCAGGGGAACCACGTGATGAAACATCAAGGACATCGCATGCCTGGGTGCCACAGCGGGTGTCCTTGATGTTTCATCGCGTGTTTCCCCTGAAGTCCCGGGTTGGAGGAGGAGGAGGAGGAGGAGGAGGAGGAGGAGGAGCCAGGAGGGAGGAGGAGGAGGAGAGGAGGAGGAGGAAGGAGGAGGAGGAGGAGGAGGGAGGAGGAGGAGGAGGAGGAGGAGGAGGAGGAGGAGGAGGAGGAGGAGTTGGAGGAGGAGGAGGGGAGGAGGAGGAGGAGGAGGAGGCCTCGAGCCCCCCAAAGAGGAGGAGGAGGAGGAGAAGGAGGCCTTTTCCCAGGGCCAGTTTTTCACCTCGACCCTTCTTGTTGACGGTCTTGGGGCCCAGCGAAGGTCCTCAGGGGGGCCGAGAGCGGCCCACTTTCGTCCCGTCGTGCTTCTGCCTTCCCCGACGCGAGCAGGCCCAGGCATGCTCCCTCGGCGGAGCTGTCTCCAGGCAGTTATCAGCGCTCGGGCTCGCCACCCTCCTGGGAGGCCCTCGCGGCCAGGGGGTCTTCGGTCGCCCTCCTCGACTCCGCCCGAGGCGCCGCCTCAGGGCCCGCGTGGAGGAGGAGGAGGAGGAGGAGGAGGAGAAGGAGGAGGACTATTTGTTTCTCATTTGGGAGTATTTTTTTTTTTTATTACTATTTTTGATTTTTCCTTCAAAATCCGCCTGTAGGGGGACATGCCCGACGTAATCCTAGATGGTCAGTCGATCCTAAGCATGGAGCAGGGGGGCGTGGACTAGCGACGCGTCCCGTTTCCATGGGAAATCGCAGATTTCCGCCGCCTAGCGAGGCGGCACCAGCCGCACTTGGGGAGGAGACCTTCCCCGTTCCATGGATCTGGCGACCGCGCGCCAAATCCATGGATCGCTAATTCATGTTTGCGCGCCCCCGAGATGGGGTCGGAGTAGGTAGGGTCGAAGGTCTGCAACTGGAGCATACACATTACCAGTGGCTCGCTGTTTCTCAAGCCCAGGACTCTTTGAGGGTCGGGAACGACGTCGGAGTGGTGTGGTGTATATATATATATATATGTGTGTGTGTGTTCCCTCGTTTCCCTGGGGAAACAGCGACAATGTATGCACCAGGATCCCGTATACACCAGGATCGGCTTTCTTGTGCGAGTGTCAGTGCAGGGCTGGAAAAAGCGTCGGTGTATAAATGTCATTTCCCTATCAGAGGTCTAGGCCTACCGGATGGGGTCGGAGGATCCTTCCGCATCGCCGATGCATCGACGATACGGCTCGATGTGGAGCCCGATGCTCTCCACGCCGACATCGCCCACGCATCGCCGACGTCGCCGATGCATCGTCGATGCATCGTCGATGTATCGGTGATGCATCGGCGATGCGGCGCGATCCTCCGACCCAGGAGGAGGAGGAGCAGGAGGAGGAAGAGGACAAGGAGGAGGAGCAGGAGGAATTGGAGGAGGAGGAGGAGGAGGAGGAATTGGAGGAGGAGGAGGAGGAGGGCAAGGACGAGGACGAGGACGAGGGCGAGGACGACGACGAGGAGGAGGGAGGCCTCTGACAGACCCAGCCCTCCCTCCCCGACATCCTCACGACGGGGAAAACGAGGAGTACGGCGGGAGACTCTCTGCCAGGGCCTCGGCCTCTGGGGGGCCCCTCCACTGCGCCTGTCCCCTGGACCCTCGACGCCACTGGCGCGGGAGGCAGCACTGGCCCGCCGAGAAGGGATGCCCAGGCCTCTGGGAGGTCGACTCCTCTCCTCCCCCCCCCTCCTCCCCCTCCCCCTCCTCCCCCTCCTCCTCCTCCTCCTCCTCCTCCTCCTCCTCCTCCTCCTCCTTCCCCTCCTTCTCCTCCTCCTCCTCCTCCTCCTCCTCCGAGGGGGGGAACTCAGAGGGAGAAGGCCTTCTCAGAAGGCGGCGGGACTTCTCGGAAGCCCTTGCGCCTTCTGAGGAGTTGTTTCTGTCTTCGGGGAAGGCTCAGAAGACTTCTCGGAAGTCCAGGGGGGCTTCCGAGCCTTCTGAGAAGGCACGCCTCGGCCTCTCTCAGGAGGGAACAAAACACAGGCACAATGGATCGTCGCTCCCCTAGAGAATATGGGGAAATATGGAAAGTGGGGGGGAAGACAGAAGCCCAGAACGTATGGGAAACTAGGGGATATCCTGTTATTTGTGCGTACTTCTTCGTGTCTCCCAGGGCCCCTTTTTCGTTCTGGGAGGCCGACGCCCCGACCAGGCCGCCACGGCGTCATCAGGCCCTGGGCCCCTGCTGCGGCTGCCCCCCCCTCCGCGCCCGCGCGCCTCTCTCCAGCTGGTGCTGGCCGCGATGATGTACCTCTGGAGGCCGCACTCCGAGAGCCAGAGGCCCCCCCCGCCCTGCGCAGGACGCCGCCGGCGTCGTCGGTGCCGTCGGCGCCGCCGTCGTCGTCGCCGGCGCCTCGTGCTCGTCGCGGGGCTCGAGGAGGGGCTGGGCTGCGGAACGGCTGGACCCCGGCTCTCGCGGAGCCCACGAGAAGATACGCAGAAAATCGTCCGCAGGTCTGCGGAGCAGTGCAGGCACGCTGCGTAGACTTGGCGTGAGAGCAATTTTCGGGTAAACCGATTCTGTAGTTCCGGGTGCAACTCCTGGGAGGTCAAATTCTGATTTTGCCCTGGTCCGAAATCTGGCTTCATCCCGCTGAATCCCGACCAATCCGGCTTAATCCCACCTAATCCCACGCAATCCTGCTCAATCCAAGGCCCACTCCGGCGTAACAGCCCCCAATGGGGCTTCATCCTCTGTAATCCTTCAGACGAAAACCTCCCAGTGGTTGCCTCTTAATGTAGTCTAGTCGGTCCCCTGCTCGAAGGGTGGGCGGATGGGGGCGAGGGCGTGCTGGAGGGGGGAGGGGGCGGGGGGCGGCGCTCGAGACGAGCCTCCAGGGGTCGGCGCACGCTGGGGGGGTGGCATTCGCAGGCTGCTGCGGCAGAGGTGCTCGGCATCGCTCGGACGTGTGCATTTTTCCTTCGGCGAGGACCATCGAGGAGCATCCTTGATCATTTGGCGAAAAAGCCACGCACGAAACCGAATATAGCACAGGGAAAGGACGTCCGAGCGATGGCCACGGTGTCGTTCCTGTTCGAGGTCGTTCCAGGATCGCCTCGGCACTGGTCGTCGATTTCATCTTTTCTTGGGGGCGAGGAGGCCAGTGAGGAAAGCGGCGGGGGTAATTGGAACGATGCGGCCGTCGGCGAGGAGGAGGGGGAGGAGGAGGAGGAGGAGGAGGAGGAGGAGGAGGAGGAGGAGGAGGAGGAGGAGGAGGAGGAGGAGGAGGAGGAGGAGGAGGAGGAGGAGCAGGAGAAGGAGGAGGAGGAGGAGGAGGATGGGAGCACGAGAACAAGGAGGAGGATCGGGAGGAAGACCGGCAGCAGCAGGAGGGGCGCAGCAGAGTAGGGCGCAGCAGGATGAGGGAAGTGAGAAGGGCAACGTGACAGGGTTCTTAGCGTTATAATAGTCGTTGCTGTTGTTCTGCGTTTTAGTGCCCTTTCTGCATGTTGGTGTGGTGAGTTCGTCCCCATGTGTCCATGCAGGTGGAGGGTGAGGAGGATGAGATCGGCATGAGGAAGGAAGATGAGGATGCGCAGCAGTATAATGCTGTTTGAGTCGGCCTTCTTTACGGCACGAGCAGAGATTTCATGATGACGTCGACTGGCCTTCGTCGGTCCAGCTTGGACAGCCACTAGCGCCGTTGCTCCTCCACATCCCCTCGGGATGATACGGCGGACATGGATGATTAGCAGCAGAACGGAGGAGCAAGGGGATAGAGAAAGAGCGGATGAGGAAGAGGAGGAGGAGGAGGAGAAGGAGGGGGAGGAATGCATTCCCATCGGGATAGCTTGTAGCAGAGGGGCCGAAGCCATGTGACGACTGCACAGTCCACGCTGCGCTCTCTCTTCTCCTCCATCCAATCGTTGAGGCTGAACATTGCAGGGAAGGGTGTAGGAGGGGGTAAGATAAGGCAGAGCAGGAGAGGCAGGAGAATGAGAAGGAGCAAAATAAGTACGCAGAGGGAGGGGGAAAACGGAGGAAGAGAAGCTGATCGGTAGAGCATGCCGTCCTGCTCTGCATCCACGACGTTTTCCAGCTGCGTGGTGCAAGTCTCCCCACCGTGCCAGCTCAGCACTCTGTGTGGCGAAGTTTCGAGCACCGAGGGCTGGCACACGTGACCTGTCCTGGAGTTAGTGATCGCAATGTTCGTGCTCTTGGGGCCCTCCCGTTCCCAGGACCGTCGAACACGGTTCAGCGTGAAAAGTTGTTCTTTGTGAAAATTTTCGGGATCTTCCGGGACCCGTTTCCTTCATTCCAAATGAGGACGATGAAAAGTGCGAGGTCGAGGACGTTGTTGACTATGTCGATGAGGAGAAAGGGTTTTGACCACCGCTCCCCCTGATCGCCTCACTGTGTTCCCAACCTCTCCTTGCGTTGTGTCCTCCTCCTCCTCCTCCTCCTCCTCCTCCTCCTCCATCTCCTCCTCCTCCTCCTCCTCCTCCTCCTCCTCCTCCTCCTCCTCCGTCAACAAAGTTTCTGACCTTGCGCAGATACGCGTTCTCGGAGCAGCTGAGCAACGTCGACATGGACGGTGCTGTGCTCTTTCCCTTCCCCTCGCTTCCCCTCTGGGCCAGAGGTGGTGCGGAGGAGGAGGAGGAGGAGGAGGAGGAGGAGGAGGCGGAGGAGGAGTATGATGACGAGGAGGACGAGGAGGAGGGGGAAGAGAGGAGGAGGAGGAGGAGGGAGGAGGAGGAGGAGGAGGGAGGAGGAGGAGGAGGAGGGGGAAGAGGAGGAGGAGGAGGAGGGAGAGGAGCTTGCTTTTACTCGGTGCGCAAGTAGAGACCTGCATGGCGGCCTGTGTGGGCAAGGCCAGCTGGAGCCAGGTCCCACTCAGAGAGCCGAGCCCCCAGAGCACGAGCCAGGATCCAGGAGGCCTGGCGCGGCGCGGTTCTGCGAGAGAGCTTCGGGGAATCATCCGGATGCCCGCCGTTCGACCACGCATGCAGGAGTGATCATTCGCCAGAGCGGCCTCCGTTGCGGGCCAGCGGGGGTTCCCCCCGCACTGGATGGCTCGCGTGGATCTCGGGCGGTTGGTAATACGGTCGGGCCGGATTGGTAGGTCGACCCTGCCAAGTCAAGGGTACCCTCGTGTCTCGTGTCTCGCGACCCGTGCCTCCTGCACTCCAGTGGCAATGTGGACCGCGGAGGGGTCTTGTGTCCTCTCGCGTGCCCTGTCCAAGGAAGTGCGACTGCAGGGGGTGACCTAAAGGGGGGGGGTGGAGAAAAGGGCCCCGAAGGGGCACTTTTAGGGCCCCTCGAGGGCCCCCGCTGGCTCCATGAGGGGCCCTACAGTGTCCCTTTTTGGGGCCCCCTTCTTCAACCTCCCATCTACCGTCAACCCGCACAAGAAGGATGGGCGGCCTTCCCAAGGGTACCCTTGCATCCTTGCCCCCTCGGTCCATCCTTCGCCACGTTCGCTGGCCGCGCCCCGCTCGAAGAGCTTCGAATGGGGCGTCCACGGCCCTTGCATCCTCCTCGCGCATCCTTGCTACACGGGTGGACTGCAGGTCACCCCCCAATCACCACCCGCCCGAGGATCTGGCCCCCCCGCGGCCCCCGAGAGCCCTGCGCCGGAGGCCACCCTTTGCCCATATGTAGGGCCACCTCCTGTGCGTGTGCGGACTGTCGTGCGAGCGACGAGTCCAGGATTAAGTCGGGCGTGTCCCTCTACAGGAGAAAAATCCCAAAATATTTATGAAAAAAGGAAAAACTCGCATGGGGACGATGTTCTGCGTATTTGTGAGCAGTTTGGGGGTCCATGTTTAATTCTTCCAAGATCCGCCTGTAGGGGGACAGGCCCGTCCGAAGTCCAGGAGCAGGGCTGGTCGCGCGGAGTCTCGCTCGCAAGTTGCCGGCGTCTGCTCGCACCGCAGCGCGCCACGCCAGCGGCCCACGCTCAGCCACCGCCCAGGCCGGCCGCGACGTCTCGCGCAAGAGGCCCGCCCTCCGTCGCCCGTGCGGCGGCGCCGCTGCCCCTCCCTGCGGTGCTCCACCCCGCCGCGCACCGCGGCCTGCGCCGCCGAGGCAGCTGCGCCTCCCACGCAGTGGCGAAGCGTCCTGGCTCGCCTACAGGCCCACCGGAGAGTGTTCGAAGAACCTTTCGTGGTCTGCACGCCGTGTTCTTAGACCAGGTGTTGTTGGGACTGTCTTGCTTTTGCGCATCGGGTTTATGTTCTAAGAGCGTTGTTCTTCTATTTCGAGCGAGCTTTTCTTGGATCTAAGAACATTCCGTGGTAGGCCTATAGGAATGCTGGGACGGTCGGTCCCTGCTCAAGCCTCCCAGTCCCCCGCGGGCGGCGTGTCGGCGGTCTTGGCGAGACTGGCGAGCCTTCCCTAGCAGGAGCGAGCGGCGTGAACATGCAGTGGAGGCCCATGCCGAGAAACACCCTGCTCGCCTCCAGGGTGCCTTGGGTTTCTTGGGTGTCGATGCCTTCGCCATGGAAAGCGCGGCGTTCCCACACCAAACATCCATGGGCGTCCTGGGGTCTCAGGGTTGGGTTTCTTGTGTAAGGTTTCTTGTGGTCGGGCCCCTACTGCACAGCCGAGACGCTGAAGTAAGGTCCACCTTGGGCTGACGAGGGGCTCTGACTGTCCGGCCGCTCCTCGGATCTCTGTCGTGGGATCTGCTCGTGCCCGAGGCCGACCGTGGCCAGAAGCGCCCCTTCCTTCCTTCTTCAGCGGGAACTTTCACGTGTGGCACGGTGACTGTATGCTCCGCCCACCCGCCCCCCTGGCGCACCGCGGCCTGCGCCGCCGACCCAGCGGCGCCTCCCAGTGCCCCAGCACCCCTCGAGCGTGCGTGCTGGCGGCCCTGGCGAAGCTGCCCCGCAGAGGAACGAGCGTGGCACGAGCAGGTGCGGACGCTGCTGACGCCACTGGATGCCCTGGAAGCCCGCCTCCGCACCTGCCCCCGGGCGCGCCCCAAGTACGTCGAAGCATCAGACGAGGAAGCATGCACGAGCGGAGACAGGAGGCAAAACAGGAGGGAAAAAAGAGAGGGATCCCCGGGAGCCCTGGAAGTCCGGGCTCTTTCCCCAGGGTCTCGGGGGCGGCAGAGAGGGGGGTGACGACTACGAGGGGGGGGGGGGGGTATATCGGCGGGGGCCATGATGTGTCCCCATATTTTTTAAGGCGCTTCTTCTTGTTTCATTGCGTCCCTGGCCCCCCGCTGGGCCGCGCACGTGCCGCCGGTCATGATTTGGTCCCCCCCCCCCCTCTTGAAACCCCCCTCTTGGCCGCTCCCCAGAGCCGGTTGTTCGTCGCGAGTTGTTTTCAACGGTCCCAGTGCCCCTGGGCGGAGGCCAAAAAGTCTCAAAGTCCTCTCGTCGTGATCTGTTCATGGCGCGCGCATGTTTGGGGCTGCACGCCAGCGCTCCCGATCTCCCGGCGCCCGGGTCGCCGCCCAGCGGGCCCACCCGCCCGAGGGGTTCCCGGGGGGTTGGCGGCGGCAGGGTAAGGCTCGGAGTTTGGGCAGCATGCTGATGGCCGTGGAGACACTTGCACGGCTTATGGACGATGCAGACAGGACGTCCAAGGCTCCATGAGCGCAGCGATGCCCTAAGCCGACGTCGGCCCCCCGTCCGAAACGACAACATCAAAGTCAGGCCCACTGAAAGTTGGCCGTAGTTTGTCAAAACTCAGCGGGAAGGGAAGAGAGGAAGAGGAAAAGGGAAGCAACATCAGCAGCCGATCGCCCGTTTGACGCAAGCTTCGGCAAGCCAGATCGCTGTGCGCGTTCTCGCGTATGGCCGCAGGGCCTGTGGGCAATCTTCTCGAGGTAGCTCTTGGTGGATCCAGCTGTGAGCAGGTGGCTGCAGGCTTGATCGCTTGGACGCGCCGTTTCCAGAGTTACCACCTCGGATAGGCAACCGTGAGCTGGGTCTTCGCGAGAGAGCACGACTCAAGCACTCTCGTCGGAGTCATACTATGGTATATGTAAGAGCTTCGCCCCCTGCTGCTGGCCCCCTCTCTATCAGACCGGGATATATCAGAGTCGCGTCGGCGTGTCTCAGCGTTGCCTTGGCGCAGCTGGAACATGATGCGTGGGCGGATAGGAAACATCAGCTCATATTGAGACGTTGGCGCTATCCGAGTGGCCTTCGGCCCATCCCGCCACCATGCCTGGGTTGTGGATCTGCGGCCTTTTGTATGTGTGTTGGGGTGTCGTGGGGAGCCTCTCGGGGGCCTCTTGGAGGCTATTTGGGCGCCTCTTGGGGGCCTCTTGGGGCCTGGTGGGAATCTTTGGGCCCGCTTGGAAGCCTCTTGGGCGTGTCTTGGGCGCCTCTTGGGGCCCCTTCGGGCCTCGTCGTGGCCTCTTGGGGCCTCCTGGGGGCTTCTCGGGGCTTCTCGGGGCGCTTCTTGGGCAATATTGGAGCCCTCTTGGGCCGTCTTAGGGCGCTCGTGGGCGCGTCTTGGGCTGTCTTGGGGCGGTCTTGGAAGCTTCTTGAGCTGTCTTGGAGCGTCGGTAAGCTGAAAATGCGAGAGAAGGTCAAACTATTCCAATCACCTGAGTAACATCAATCATCTTGACCTCTTCGGTCTCTCTCGGGAGGCCTCCGTGAGCGCTCTTGGGGCCTCTTGGGGCACTCTTGGGCTGTCTTGGAACTATCTTCGGGCGCCTTGGAGCACTCGTGGCCTCGGCAACGCAAGTATTGTGTAATTTACCACATGTATGGCTTCGGGGGCGCGAATATTGAGTAAGTAACATGGGTGTGTTGTCTCGGGGACGCAAGATTTGTATAATTTGTAAGGGTTCATTGCATCGAAAACGCGAGAGTCGCGTAATTTACAAGGTGTTATGGCTTTGTGGGCGCGAATCCCATGCAGTTTTACGTGTCCCACGCCCCCCCCGGATTTCAGAGCACGCGATCCGAAGGCGGTAAACTGCTGACTTGGGGTTCCCCCCCTTCGCGCTGGCGTCAACAGCTTACAGCAGGAGGCAGAGAGAAGAGCTGCAACACTGCGCAGGGAGCAGCAACCCAGCCCTGCAGCCTGGTGGCCCCACAAGGGGGCTGGCCGATTTAGCACAGATCGCCGAACGCGAGTCTGTCACGAAGCAGCGAGCCCATCCAAATGTGACTCGAGCGTCGGCTCCCACACAATGAATTGGTGGTGCAGGCGTGGTGCAATGGCAAGAATTGCAATGCCGTGCAATAATAAGCAAGGCAATGCAGATCGTGGACAATCAACGCGAGGCAACTCACCACAGCTTGAGTTGTCGACGCGTCTCGTATAACTGCAAGTTCATCCAGACAAGATTCCGAGGCGAGTTGCGTTCACAAGGAACCGCATGGACACAAACGGAGATTGCAGCCGCCAAGCCGAAGCTCGGGATCAGCCTGAACAGATCCGGAAATCAAGCATCAAGCCTTTGCGGATCTGTGCACTAATCGCATCAAGGATGCGTTGGCCACTAATCGGAAGACCCTGTAGCCGAAGGTTCGACGATGATGTTAAGTGCCGGACCGTCTTGTAGCGTTGACCACTGGTTGCTGATCAGCAAGTAGAGCTTATCCTTTTCCTCCGAGGCTGGCAGCCCTGAGCCGCTGTAGTGTTTGCGGGGCGCGCCGCAAAGCAGCCAGGACATCCAGCGAAACACAAGTCCGTTGCGGTTCCTGTCGCTCTGCAAGAGGGGTTCTTTGCGATTCCTTGGGCCATCTCGGGGCGGTCTAAAGGGCGTGCTCGTTTTGCAGTTGGGGTTCTTGGTCGGCCCCCCTTGAGGGCCTTGAGGGGCCTCTTGGGGCCATCCTGGAGGCTATCGCTGTAAGAAGAGGGTAGCTCAAATGAGAGTCCCCCCTTCGGAGACCGCAATTGTCATTGGGGCCTCTGGGGCCATCGCGGAGCTTTTGTGTGCCACTCTTGAGGCATTCATGAACCATCATAGAGCTAATTATGGCAATTTGGAGTCGTAACTTAATGAAGCAATTCAGACCCCCCCCATCCGGTGAAACGATACAGCACCAAGCACCCTGAAGCGTTATCATGGCAACCTGGCACTTGGTCGTTACTTAGCACTCATCTGGAGCCTCCAGTAACACTCGAAAGTGGCGAAAAGGAGGAAGAGGAGGAGGATGAGGAGGAGTAGGAGGAGGAAGACGGGGGGGGGGAATAATCATTTATTTGTTGCGGTTCGGTGTGGTGCTAAATTTATCGTTCCGCTAATTTCGCCCCCGCGAATGTATTGATTTTCGCTTCGATGAGAATGACAACACAAGGGGGTCCTGAATGTCTACATGAGGTTATTTTTGCGGTCGTCGAGGCGCGCTGGAGGGCATATTAAGCATTCAGCTATCTTGGGCCGTTTTGCACCGCCATTGGCTATCTGAGGTTTATGATGTTCCAACCTATTTCAGCCTTGATCGCCATAATGAATTTCGAGCACCAGGAAAACACCCCCAACACTCGAGGGTTTCCACGTGTCGGGCCCTGGGAGGCACTCTTCCGACACTGTTTCGAGACTCTTTCGGAAATCTTGCGATACTGTTCTGGGTGCTCGAAATTATTTCTGGGATGTGGTCCTTAAGTTCGATGGGAACAACATAAACTGAGGTAATATAAGCGCCATCTTGGACGCTCTAATCATTTGCGGGAGGGGCATCCAAGCGCAGGCAGGGGGGTAAGAGGAGGAGCAAACCCCTTCCCCAAGTGGAGAGGGGGGGCCTAGGAGAGGAGAAGCTCTGAACCGCCTGCGAGTGTGGCGCAACCCGCAGGGCCAGGAGATGCCGTCGGGCACTTGGCCGCCACCCACTGGCACAGCCCACCGGCGCAGCTTGCGTCCAGGGCAACCGCAATCGAAAGGACGGCTGACTGCCGGGAGCCGACCTGTGCAGATAGCGTCTCGCCCGGATCTCCTCTGAGCCACACCATCCGGTTCGCCATGGCCATCGGCATCTTCCTGCAGCTCCTCCAGCTCCCCCTGTGTGCATTTTTTCCTCGGCGAGGACCACCGAGGAGCATCCTTGATCATTTGGCGAAAACACCACGCACGAAACCGAAAAAAGGCACAGGGAATGGACGTCCGAGCGATGGCCAGGTGGAAGCACACGCGCCAGGCTGGCGGCGGACGGGAGCGAGCGGGCCAGGCTCGGGGCGCCGGCGGGTTGCAGGCCCGGCCGTGGCGGGCGCGCCTCCGGATCCTCCTGCGCGGCCACCGGTGAGCGCGCGCGCTCGCGCTCGCGGGGCGGGGGCCCGGGCGCCCCCGACCCCCAAGGTGACGCTCGCGCGACGTCCGTGGCCAACGGGGACCTTGCGGCCCGCCCCTTCAGGGGCATCGGGCGGGGAGGAGGGGCGGGAGGAGCGGTATAGGCTACGTGCGAGGGGCGGCAAGAGCAGGGGCATGAGGAAGGGGAGGATTGGGGGGGTGAGGAGGAGGAGGAGGATAAACGCCACAGGGTAACCGTAGGTCTAACGTAAAGAGGAGGAGAAGGAGGAGGAGGAGGAGGAGGAGGACCAGTGTAAACCCAAGGGTCATCAACGATGTTGGAATCAACCATCCTGCCAAGCTCCCTCTTCATATTCCCCTACAACGGTCCATTTCCATTGAGGGAACTGCTTCATTGGAAGACAACCGTTTGAAGACCCTGTAGCATGCCAAAACATTGTTTTCGGGATTCCAACGCCATGGATCAATCTGACTGTTGCGTTTGGACGATCCTGAATCGTGCCAGAGGCCCGTTCTTGCGACCTCAACACCGCGAATGAACGTAACTGTTTCACCCTCATCATCCTGAACCTTTCCAGAACACAGTTTTCTGGTAGATTGATCATGGGATTCCTTGAAATTCGTGCACATTTTATTAGTGAACGTGCGCGGCGTTAAGGCGGGAGCCACATTTTGAAAACGAACCACCCTCAGTCCGTGAAGCTCTTGCACATGTTTGAAAGGAATGTTCGCGTCGCTAAGGCGAGAGCCACATTTTGAAATCGGGTTCCTCTTTTAACCCGTGAAATGCTTGCAATTGTTTAAAACGATTGCGCGCGGCGCTAAGGCGAGAGCCACAGTTTGAAAACCACCCGCCCTCAATCCGTGAAGCTCTGGCAATGATTTAACACATGTGGACGGCGCTAAGGCGAGAGCCACATTTTGAAAACGACCCGCCCTCCATCTGTGAAGCTGTTGCCAGTTCTGAAGCTTCAGGGTCATAAGTGGTGAGGAAGTCTCAGGCGAAACACCCGGCCCGCCCTAAAAACTAGCCTCGGGGTGCGACAGGGAGAAGTCAGTATAAGGAAAAGGAACGGAGGAGAGGGAGGGGCCGGGGGGAGAGAAGGGGGTTGAGGAGTGGGCGAGAAGTTGGGGGAGTGACGGTGGTAATGCCAACCGACGAAGTAAAGTCGTCATACGCGTATAAGTTCCTTGAGGTCCGTTTTGATTTCTTGTGTCGGCGCTGGACCACCTGGCGGCGCTTCCGGAGCCGCCACTGGAGCCCTTGGCGCTGCCTGGGAGGGGGATCCAGCGCCGATCTAAGACGTTTGTGCGGATCTTCGAGAATTGATGTTCATGTAAGAGAAGACGAACGCGTTGGGCAGGAAGGTTCTAGATGCAGTGACGAGCGGGGCTTGTCTTGCGTCTTCCCGTTTCTGGTTTTCGCAAGAGCTTCGGCACTTAATCTCATCTCTTCACGTCAGCAATGCTGTTCGAACAGTCAAACCATTGGCAACTCAACTTGTGGGCAGCTGCGATCGACTTCAAACATGCGATTGACGGCGTCGACCATCAGTGCTTGTGGGAAAAAGTCTGCTTGGAGCAAGAAAGGTTTTGGTATACAAATGGGGCACGCGAGAGTTACTCGTCTGACCAATCTGCATTTTTTGAAGACGTGTTGCTTTTGGCACCCAATCTACGGCAGCTCAAGTGCATCTTCCGTGACCTCAGGCACGCTACCTCCGCATGCGGACGAGAGTTGCACCCGGACAAGACGAACATTCTCACACATACGAAAAGGCAGGACGGACGAACGACAGCCCACGTTGACGTCAATAGACAAAGCACGAAGTACCTCGGGGACGTAAGCTGACACTAAACGTGTACCACTGCACTGGGCTCTCCAAGAGAATCGCCGTGGGATGGCAAATGTTCCACCTCCGCGACGAGCTGATCAGCAAACGGTGCCCCTTGCACGACAGACTCTGGCTATTCAGTGGCACGGTGGCGCCAAGCGTGCTGTTCGGCTGCACCTCGCGGGCCCTCACCAAGGACATGCTCTTTACACTGCGGCGCACCTGGCGACGTATGCTGCGACCCATCGTGAACACACCCAGACGAAGCGCGCCAACAGCATGCAGCATCGACACGGGTAGCGGCGCCAACCCCGACCTTGATTAGCGCGACGACATCGCGAGCACAGGCGACAGAGCACGAACACCAACGACACAAAAGCAGAGACTCGCGGCGACGTCGTCGAGTCCGATTTAGAACCGTAGGACGATTTCATTCGCAGAACTATCCCCGCAGCCGCAGCTTTAGCGACACGCTTCAAAGTGGATGAGTGGACGACGACGCTCTACCGTAAGCGCAACTGGCGAAGGGCAGGGCGAACCGCAGACACCGACGTTTTTTCCGACCCTGCGCTGAAATTCGCACAGGAACGCGGATCCTGGAGTATATGGGATCCTGGTGTACATGTTTCGTTGTTTCCCCTGGAGAACGGGGGGAAAGTATACACCACACCACCCCGACGTCGTCCCCGACGCTCAAAAAAAATCCTGGGATTGAAAAAACAGCCCGCCACGACATTTCACAAGTCGTGCGATCTACCATTGGGGCTACTACCCTGACGTGCGTGGATACTGTTGGATACCGCACGCTGTGGACAACAATTGGGAGGAGGAGGACTTCCTTGCACGCGCGCGCATTGGACCAGGCCCGGGCTCGCCCGCGCCGCCCCCGAGGGGGCCCGCCTGCTTGCGGACGCGCGCGTCTCGTCGTCGTCTCGTCGGCTGGGTGGCCTGCCCGGGAGGGACGTCGGAGGGGCGGGCCCTTTGCAGAGCGTGGCGAGGGCTTCATCGCACGAGGCCCCCGCGGGGCGCCCGCCGGCGGGCACTTGGCCGAAGACCCGGGGAACCTCGCCAGCGCACGAGGCGCCCGCGGGCGGGCTCCAGCCGGCAGCCTCGAGAGCCCAGCAAGCGCCCAGCGCCCAGGAGAGGCACCATACGCAGACCAGGCACGCCTTACCACTACGATCAGGAGGGGAAGAAACACACAGACACAATTGATCGTCGACTCCCAGGAAAATATAGGGAAATATGGGAAGTGGGGGGGGGGGGGGACAGAAACCCAGAAAATATGGGAACATATGCGGATTCCTGTTATTTGTGTGTATTTATTTGTGTGTTTGTGGGCCCCTTCATACGAGGCGCCCGCGGGCGAACGCATGGCGAACATAATCTAGTCAAGCAGCTACTCAAGATTCTAGGGCTTACGCCACGCCACCGGCCCCTTGAGGAAACTCTCGGTTGCGGCGGGTTGCTCTGGAGTGCCTCTTGGGCGCCTTTGGGGGGCTTGGTGGTGCCCTGTTCGGCGCTTCGTGGGGACCTGGGGGGGGGGCCTCTGGGTGCTACGTGTCGCAAAGTGCACTTTGTCTTGTAATTCTTGTGAGGACCGCGATGGTTTGGGGGGGGTCTTTGCTTCGGGTCGGCCGTCGGTCGAGGGGGTGGGCGTTTACGAATACGGAGCAGGGGTAGATCACATTTTCCGAAGGGGATGGGAAAGGGATTTGGACGAGAGGCTCGCCTAACCCACCGACGCCCGAAGGGCTTGTGGAATGGTGTTCGTGGGCGTAGTTATTGGATTCGTGTAGGCCGCGAGAGCCTTCGGCGCAGGATCTACACTCCTCCGGAAAGCTTGGCCGGGATGATGCTCAGGAGAAGCTTGTCGGGGAGGTGGTTAAAGGGACCAGGAGGTGGGAAGGACCTGATGGGACGAGAGCGGAGTGCCCGTAGACAAGTCTTCAGGCCATGTCGATGAGATTCGGAAGGGTACCTCTCTTTGAAGTTCGCGTAAGGAAGCAAGAACTCATGCCTCCGACGCACCACTGGTTGATTCCTGGTCTGTTTTGGGCGGGTCGAGCGCTGTCTCGATGCCATCTTGGTTCGTCGGTGAGCTACCTTGGGCCATATCGGCGGCTGCCTTGGGCTGCGTTTGCGATCTGTTTGGGCCGCTCTGGTGTGCGAGAACAGGAGCGGGGAAACAGGCGAGAGCCCACGTGTGCATTCGGCGGGCGTCTGTCAAACGACGTTCTGGAGCCGTCGCGTGGGTCTCGGAGCGAGCCGTGGGGCGTGTCGGGGCCCTCTTTGGACCATCTGCCGCGTGCGCGTCGAAACACCAGAATAATGATTATTGAAGACGCCTGCGGCGAATCACCGCCGCCCCATGCCTTTTTGGAAGCGCCTATGTGGCCGAACGTTGAGGCCAGACCTGCGAAGCTATCGGACAATGTGTTTCCCGAGTCGGTTTGGAGGCCTTCGGGGAACACGTAGGTCATCTTGGCCATCAAGAGGCCATTTTGACCCTTTCGGGCTTTCTTGGAGGACGTCTTGGAGGGCTCTTGGGCCGTCTTGGAGGCCAGCTTGAGCGTCTTGGAGGCCTATAGGGCCGTCTTGGGGGCCTCTTGGGGCCGTCCTGGGCCTTTTGGGCGATCTTTGGGGGCACTTGGGTTGTCTCGGGCCGTCGGAAGGCCGAGCAAGCAACAAATGCCACAATCCTTCAACAACTCATTGGAACTCAATGAGTTTGGCCTTTTCAGGCCTTCCTGGAGGCCCTCTTGGAGGCCTCTTGGGCCGTCTTGGGCCATCTTAGGGCCATCCTCGGCCGTCTTAGTGGGCTCCTGGCCCGTCGGACGCCGTCGGAAGCCGTTTGGGGGGCCTCTCTGGGCAGACATGGGGCCCTCTTGGAATGCTGCCAGGGCCGTCTTGGAGGCCATATTGGGCGTCTTACAGGCCTCCTGGGGCGTCTTGGGGGCCTCTTGGGGCCGTCTTGGGGGCCTCTTGGACCGTTCTGGTTGGGGGCCTCTTGGGCGATCTTTCGTCGATCTTTGGGGGCTCTTAGGCCCTCTCGGGCCGTCGGAAGGCCGAAAAGAAGCCAATGTCAAAACCCTTCAGAAACCTTAGGACAATAAGTATGTGTTGCCTTTTTCTGGCCTTCCTGGAGGCCCTCTTGGAGGCCTCTTGGGCCGTCTTGGGCCAGCTTCGAGCCAACTTCGGCCATCTTGGCGGGTTCCCTGCCCGTCTGACGCCGTCGGGAGCCGTCTTAGGGGCCTCTCTGAACTGGCTTGGGGCCCTCTTGGGGCGCTTCGGGGCCGTCTTGGAGGCCAAGGCCGACCTTTTGGATGTCGGGAACACCCGACGCTTTCCAAGGGCGTGGCCGCATTGAAGCAGCAACGCGGGTGATGGTAGAATGTGGTTGGATATTCTTGATATATCAACCGTCTAAGGTTGCCCGCCAACCCCATCTACCCCGACCCCATATCCGTTCTCCTGATCAGTGGCGACATCCCTTCATTTCAATCCGGCTTGATATCGGCGGCGAGCCAGGGGGGGGCACGGAAAGGAGAAGCCTTTCTCAGAAGTCAGGCTTCCGGCCTGCTGAGATTTTTTGTTGTGTGTTCGGGGAGGGCTTAAACAATGCTTCATAAGGCTTGGGGCTTTCCGAGCCTTCTGAGAAGGCCCGCCCCTTCTCACTTCCCCCCCTTGTTCGCCGCCGCTGATAGGGTCAAATCGTTCTTACAACGGCTTCCAGAATTTGCCTCCTTCGGGAAAAGAGGGACGGATGAGGAGGAGGAGGGGGAAGAGGAGGAGGAGGAGGAGGAGGAGGAGGAGGAGGAGGAACAAAAACAGTAACGAGCAGCAGGGGCATTCCCTCAGCCGTGCCCCCCCCCCCGGAGGACCTGCGCAAGCTGGGTGGCGCGGAGACGCGCCTCGCGCCGCCAGCGACGCGTCCCTTTGCGCGCCGTCACGCTGTGCTCGAGGGTTTCGGCCAAAGGGGTTCGAGGTGCGAGGTTCGAGGTTCGGGTCTTCGGCTCAGCCGGAGTGCTTGTTCGAGGTTCGAGGTGTTCCTGCGTCTTGGTCGGTTCTGGGAGGATTTCCAATCTCGGGGGGGCCTCCCAGCAGCTGCGCCTCGTCGGGAGCGCTCCAGGCGTGCCCCGATCGTCCCGATCGGCCGCCCGGAAGCGAAGTGATGGCCCGAAGACCACTTCTCCCCAAAACCTCCTTTCTTCCCGCC